TTTTCCTTCATTGAAAACTGTGTTTGCTTCTCTGCATACTTCACTCCAATGTCAATGGTGGTATGGACTCCTTTTGTTTTAGCCAGACTGGCTAGAGCCATCAGCATAGTCTGAACATGGGTCATGTTTGCATTCTCCGAAGAATCATTTGCCTTGAATATGTCATGGGGTTTCATACCATATGCCTGAGTAGCTTTAATAAAGTTGCCAACATTCTCCAACGGAGCCCAGTTTAACAAGGACTTGTTGACCTCCCTCACTGAGCCTGGCTGTAGCTTCTTTATGAATTTGCAGGGGATTATGCCATCTTTCAGGCCCAGCTGAGAGCTGGTGCCGATACCCATGCCTGTCACCTCTTCTATCCAGGTGCAGAGATCTTCTTCCGCATGGTGATCATGCTTGGAAGCAATCTCACAACCGCCTGCACCTATCAATCTAAGCTCTACCTGTTGCCACCATGGGAATGGTCCCCATTTAGGTTCTTGAGGGCAACAATGATTTAATCTAAACAGCTATCCTCATCTTAAAAGCTATCAGAATAGCTCACACACCAAAAACTCTGAATAAAAGTGTCATACTGTGCATCTGCCCCTCTAGTTAAAAACCTCTCTAGCTAGGTATGGTAACAAAGAAAAGATGCATGCACTGCTGCTTTGCTTCCCACATCCCCCACATGACACTTTCCAAACAAATTATTTTCAATTATTAATTGTGGCAGCAACCACACTTTCATCATTTAATATCCACCTTAATGATCTGATGCATAAGCATTCTCCACAATAGCTAGTCTCATTAACAGAATGCTTCACACATGAGCTGAAATCAACACAAAATCCAGGTTCAGCAGGTGACACTAAACAGGGGCCTGACCATGGTGCCATCCTCCCCAGAAGGCACACACAGGCCAGGGAAGTGGTGACGACGTCTCTGAAGGGCTCAGAGAAAAGGTTTCATTTTTCCATTGCTACTGTGAAAGGTGTATTTGCAAAATAAAGATAAATTCTTCTGAGGCACTATTCTAAAAACAAAAATAGTAGTACAAATGTTTAAATAAAAATACTACTACATGTGTGAATTAACTGAAGAGCTTCATTTCTCCCAAGTATCTTCTAATTCATTGTTTTTGTTTTATTCTCCCTATATATAATATCTATATTTCTAATACTTGATGCAAGGGCCATTTTGAAGCATGTAAACATTCCATTGTTTTTTTAAATGGTCCCAAATAGTTCTCTTCACATGGACATATGTTCTTATAATAAATTATCCTCAAAATATGTTCACAGTGCTACAGGTAGGAATGTTATGTAAACTACGAAACTCTATTCAAATGAAAAGGGACATCTATGTACCTAAAACAGAAAGGAAAACAATACCAACAGCTCACACTGAAGCCTTACCACTGAGATCACCTCTTTCTAGCCAAGTTCACGTACATCTTCTCACTTCTGATTTTCATCAGCAACTAACCAGACCTAACTGGAAATCCCCCTATGGCCTTCCACCAGCTTCCCTGTTACTGTGACACCTGATTTTTCTTTCCCGGCTGACCACTCCTTAGCTTCCTCACTGACTCCTCCCCTGGGTGTACCCCACTCCCCAGTCATGAAACTGCTCCTTCCTTTCCTCTAGCTTATTTACTCTGTCTCAGGCTTTTTATTGACACCCCCATACCAGCTGAATATTTCCTATCTGGCTTTCTCTAGCCCAACATCTGTGTCACTCCACAAATTTGCTATATCAGTGTCTCTTTCAATTCAATATTCTAAAAACTGAAAGAAATTTGTTCCACCCTGCTCCCAAACCACCAACGTGGCCCTCCTGCTAACTTCCCATTTCAACAGCAGCAGCATTATTTTTTCATTCAAATAGTTGAAATGATTAACCCTTACCTAATGATGACTTCAAAGTCTTTTCCACTCTAGAGAAAGGGAACCTACACCACACTGGAAGAAATGGCTGGGGCAAAGGGTCAGAGGGGACGGGACTCCCTGCCTCCTCGGTCAGACTGTGGGTGGTGTTACCTCTACAGCCTTCTGCCCAGTGACTTTCAGGTCCCCCTCTCCTCCAGGACCTCCCATCAGGAAATCTTCCTTCATAGTCAGACTGATCTTCCTGACTGCTTGTATCACCTGCGCCTCTACTCAGCAGCTGCCTGCTCACACACAGATTCAGTCCTACAAGTATCTGTGGAGTATGCACTTAACCCCTTATCAGGTACCACGCCAGGCACAGAACAGTTATCCATTGTCATTTAAGCTAAACTCTGACCACAGTGCAAAACACTCTGAATAAAAACAGAACTAAGGACTTGTTCCTTCCCTTAATAAACATGTATGTTACTTAAAGACATAAACAAAATTATGGAAAATACGTAAAACTTTTTATCATGGCCACAGTTAATGGTGACTATAGTTAATAATACTGTATTGCATATTTCAAAGTTGCTATGAAAGAAGATGTTAAAAGTTGTCATCTCAAGAAAAAAATTCTTGTAACTATGTGGTGATGGATATTAACCAAATTTATTGAGGTAATTATTTTTCAATATACACAAATTATTATGTTGTGTACCTGAAAATAATATAATGTTACATGTTAATTAAACCTCAATGTAAGTAAATAAACAAACAAATAAGCAGAAAATGGCAAAATCTAAGGTCAAGGCTATTATTTTAAAAATCTGGTTTTATATACACTTTGTACATGAACCACAAAAAGTAGAAGTCAAAGGAAGGAACTCTGGTCTAAGAACCAAGAAGCCTTCAAAGAGGAGGAGTTACACTGTATCGTGAAAAACAGAAAACAAATTTTCTAGTTTGGGAGGGTTAGGGGCTGGTGGGGAGAGCATGTATACCCACAATGCCCAATAGGGGCACTGCAAACAATCTTAGTTTTAAGCAAATCATAATCACCCCTCTTTTAATGCATGAAACACCTTTCTACCTCCAAGTCTCCCACACTCCTCTTCCTTCTCCCTGTCAACCTATACAATCTCCGTTTCTCAAGACTCAGCCCAAGGCCCAACACTCTTGAGTCCTTTTCTGATCACTTCAGACCCCCAAAGGATCCTCTCCTTGCCAAAGCCCTGGGCCACTGTCTGTTTCACACCACTGGCATTTATTTTAGGTTGTTTTAGTCTCAGCTCTTGTTTGTTCTTTGTCATATTTTGTTCACAAGTGATTTGGTTCACATGTTTTATCTCTACACTTTCAGTGGTTTGTTCATATGAATGTATGAACACATGTAGTACATGATTTACTGTACAAAAATGACAAGTGAAATTTTAAGAAAAATAAAGATAAATTAGAAGTGTAATTTAAGATACAAATCCATTACTGAAATGAAATGTATAGATGGCAGAGCTCACTTAAGAGTCTTATGAATTTATAAATATGCTAATTTCTCTTTTAAATGAAAGTTAAGGCAGTTCTTTTAACTCTCCTTAATTCTGTCTTCACCAGATCAGCTTCCCACGAATGCCCTTTCTTAGAAAAAAAAAAATTGAGAGCTCACTATAGAGGCAGACCAAGCTTAATACTTCTTTTCATCACAGTATCTTCCAGCAAAGTGCTAAGTGACCGTTCTGCAGTCAACTACATAAAATACAAACTCATCAATGTGCCTCACAATCTCAGAACATAATAGCAGTTTTACGCTTATCTTCCTTCCTACTCAACAATTATATACCCAGTGGGTATAGCAGAATCCAATCAATTTATCTGGTCCAAAAATCTCATCTTGTGAAGAACTAAACGTATTTAAAATCTTTGTATTATCAAGCATTTAAAACAAACTCCAGTCACCACCACCAGTTTGCCACTTTAACCTTTTTGGAGTTAAGTGGGCTGGAAAACACCAGGAGAACCCACTACACCAGCTAAGGACTGACTCTGGAGCCTGCCACAAGAATCTCCACCAGTGGGATCCAGAAGGTGTCACTGGCAAGTGCGTACAGACCAAAAAGCTCTGAAGTGAGAGTACATAGTCCTCGTCCACATGGAAATGGCCCAAAAGGACAGGTCCAGGTAACCAGGCTGACTCCATCTGCTTATCACATGCTGTAGTCTCAACAGCAAAAACCAGACCTTCCTTTTTTGTAGTTTTCACTGTGGGCCACGGACAGATTAAGAGTGTCTTTCTAAGTGGATAAAGGCATATATAAGATAAAGCACTCCGTGAACTTTAATCAACACTGTGGGATATAAAAGGCAGGGGATAAAACCAACCGAAGTTCCACGACTTCGTGCCCCGACTTCGTTCCCCGACTTCCTGAAAAACGCTTACAACCAATCCTCCAGGTAACTGCGGTGCTGGCTCACGTACGCCCATCTCCGCTAGTCTGGTCCGCACCTCCGAGCTAGTTCCAGCCGTCAGATACCGGCCAGAGGTCCGAGCTGCACTCACTTTCAAGGTTCCTACTCCAGGGCTGGGCACAGCTCGGGGAGCAGGAAAGGGGAGGAAAGCAACGTGGAGTGCTGAGACGCTCACAGGAGTCACGGCCGGAGCCCGAACCCCGGTACACGACAGTTGGTGGAGAAGCGGGAAGAGGGGTAGGACGCCGGAAGCCACATGCCCACCGCAGGACGCCCAGCGGTCGTAGGGCCCTCTTCTGACCCCCAAAGAGTCATATGCCCGCCCCTCGTCCCGCTAAGCCGGCTCACGGCGCCCAGGTAGCGGCCCCGGCACCCATGCCAGACCACAGCGAAGGGCGGTGGGGGAAACGGCGGCCAAGTCCTTCCAAAGTGGGACACAAGTGGGACAGCGCCTCCGGCGGGGAGTCCGGCGCGTGCCGGCGAAAGAGAAAGAGCAGGGACAGGGCGGAGGCGTCCGGTAACTGCCACCACCACCGCCCCCCCCCCCGCCACCGTTTCCCCCGGCCCAGTGGCAGGCGACACGCACGCCCCTCCGCCCGATGCGGGGCTCGGAGCCAGCCCTGGCGACCGCTGCCGCTCACAGGACACACCGACGAACCAGCCGGGCGGCGGGGTCCTCCTTACCCCGAGCACAGCCGAGCCGCAGCAGAGTGGACTCCGCGAAAGGCGACAGGCGGGGAGCTCGAGGTTGGGCTGGTCCTGGCGTGGTGCCGCGCTATCCGGCAGTGCCCGCGGGAGGGGAGCGAGGGTGCACGCGCGGGGCGCGGGGCGGGGGGGCGCAGAGCCTCCCCCTGCCCGCCCGGCGCGCATGCTCCCGCTGCACTTGCCTCACTCGGATTCCGCTCCTCGGGGAGCTGAGAGGACCTGGGACCCACCGGAGTCGGGGCTCCCACGTGGAAGGAAGGTGACTGCGGCTTTATTTTCTGCTGCCTTTTTCTCCTTATTCCCTGAGAAGTGCTCCCCCAAATCTTAGCTACTTCCTGCCTGACCCCTCCCCGCTACAGTAATGTTGCCTCTGGGCCCTCACCCCCGCTTCTTCCTACCTGTTAGGGGTCATCTTCCAATGTTCTCTCACTTCTGATTCCTCTCTGTCCTGTTGAGCCTTAAGATTTTGCGACCTCCCCTCAATGCTCCTTTCCGCTCTTGACTTGGCTACACTCATTTTACAAAGATATCATTTCAAAGTAAAAGATTACTCTTTTCGAGTGAGAGAACAAATGTTTACTGACCCAGCTCTAGCTACTTGGGATTGAACAGGAAAAGGGAGCAACCGAGTTTCTGCCCTCAGGTAACTCACAGTCTTAGTGATTAACTTTAGCCTTTTACAAGGAATTGTCAAGATTTAAAGGAATTTATTGAATCATTTCTTTTTGTTTATAATTAAAAGTATATAGTAATTAAAGACTATTTTTGTGGCTTTTAAATAGAATTTTCTCCATGGAAGCGCCTAGTATATAACCTGCAATACACAAAATAGCTGGTAGGTTCAAAACAAATATTAGTTTGTTGCTTCCAATAAGAAATTTAATAACATGATTAACAATAACAATCTCCCAAATGATCTTTTTTGCTTGGTTGTTGACTACCATAAACCAAGAACTAAAACTTTGGTTTTCGGGTGAGACTGGTCCTTTGGTTGTGTGGACCCTGAGAAAGAAGATACCTGAAAAGACCTATAAAAATGGGCTCTCAGTGGCTAACCAGAATCAAGTTTATAAAAATCGATAAATAATGTAATCTAGCAGCCACTTCTACACAGGTACCTCCCATGCAAACTGTACTTCCAGGAGAAGCCTACACTGTATTGCCTACCATCACTGTGTTTCTGCCAACTGAGGCAGCCCTTACAAAGGAGTTCCTGAAATCCGATTTCAGCCACTAGCACTGAGGCTTTCTCCATCCAATATGAGCTGCACTGGTATATCCCCATCAGCTTCTTCACTGACCAATCAGAATGACTCCATTCTGACCAATCAGGACAGTGCCTTTTGGGCCAAACTTAAAGGATTTGGAGTCCTCATTTGCATGAGGACAGTCAGTCAAGGACCAGGTACAGGGACTTCTGGTCTACATAAGTCAGCTTGCCTCTGGTTCTAGGAGTACACTTTACCTTTCCACCAAAGTGGAAAACTGAGGCCCCAAGGCTGAGCTGAAACATGAAGATATCTTGCCAAAGCAGAGTGCAAGCCAAAGCAGAGCACTGTTATTCCGTGAACACTGCCACTTTAGGGTACCACCTATACATACTTACCTGAAAACTGCATGAAATTAGAGTGGGACTCAGTGGGTGGATTAGAAGTCCCTCTCTCTGTTATTTACATGAGCACAGGTAACCTGTTTTGCTGTCTTTGGTGGTGGTGGTGGTGAAAGACAAGTGCTTCCATTACTGCAGAGTAACGCAATCCTACCCAGTGGTGTTTGTTTACCTTTAAAGACTAAGTCTTAGTGGCATAAATGTCAAAATGTCTGCAGCAGAGAAAGAGCACTTAAGGGCACTACTGATTCCACCTGCCCTTTGGAAAAAACAATTATCAATATTTTACAAAATCACAGAAAGGTTTAAAATTCAAATACAGTGAACTTATTTTACCTTGTCTTCCCTTTTGGGGGAAAAGAGAATTATCATTATACCATGATATATGAATATATTTGGCTTACCTTTATACAAACAAACACTTTTCATGGGTTAGATTTAAACAAAGAGAAGGATATACCAATAAAACAGCTGACACAGGTAGAGAACCTCATCCAGGGTTATGTAAATGTAAATGCATGGGTGCATAGTGTTGACAAAAAAATATGGTTATATTCAAAGAAGCTGACATCAGTTTTAAACTACACTGTTATTCAAATTATATGGAAATATAAGCAGGTATGCATTGGTACATTTATTAAAGAATTTTTTAAAGCTATTGTAGTAAATGCCTTTTATTTGTACAGTTGCAGATTAAAATGAAATAGTCACATTGTTGATTATTGTAGTGTTACCAACTTTCCATTATGAGCTAATAGGCTTACAACACTAACAGTTACTAGGCATTTATTTTTATAATGCAATTGAACCTGACAAATTCTGACTAACAAAGTTAATGTTGACTAGAGAGATAAAGATGGTTTATCCTTGAGCTAGGAAGCCCTGGTGACATAGTAAACACAGGAGAACCCCTTTCTGGAGGTCATCAAAACAAGAGTCAAGGTAGTTCTATAAGTTATCCAGCTCTATAAGGTATCCGTGCCTATCTATTCACTTATATGTGGATTTTCTCAGTTGACTTTTGCAGTTCAATTGACCTTCATGGTCCAAACATGCACTGTTCAAGGGCCAAGTGGAGGTTAGGAATCCAAGTGTTTGAAAGGTCAACTTAAGTGGCAACAAAACCTGCCTAATTGCTAAGATAGTGTTTTACTTTACATAGAAAGACTCCATTTTTAAATTTGCTGAATTTGTTTACCTTTTTCTGTTTTTTAAAAATTGTTTTCAAGTACAGTTGTCTCCATTTTCCCTTTGCCATTTCCCCTGCCCCCACCCATCCCCACCTCCTACCCTGGATCCTACCCTCTTTGGCTTTGTCTATGTGTCCTTTATACATGTTCCTTTACCCTTCCCCCTTTTTTCCCCACTACCCCCCCCATTACTGTCAGTTTGTTCTTTATTTCAGTTTCTCTGGTTATATTTTGCTTGCTTATTTGTTTTGTTGATTAGGTTCCACTTATAGGTGAGATCATATGGTATTTGTTTATATTTCATATATGTCATTTTATATGTATGTTATTTTTTCTAACTAGAATTCAATTACATTCCTTTATTAGTTGATCAATAACAGGATTGGCTTTTAGCACAGATAGGTTTTTAAGACTCACAATAGTTTTCTAGCACATACTTAAGACAATTTGTGATAGTTAAGAACAGAGCAAATTCTTTTACACACTTCAGAGTGATTAAAGAAAAGTCACCTTAACAGCATTCTCTGCTTGCTCATAAGCAGATTGTCCGTTGCTGCTAAAATTATTTTATTGGTCACTATTTATCTTCAAAAAGTATTACTATCAAGTTTGTTTTCATATTAATGCCATTGTTAATAATTTTACCCACACCACAGTATATTTTCTGCTACACTTACATTGAATGATGAACTGTTCAATATTAAACTTTCTTTCATGGCTTTAAATATAAATAATTGCATAAAGTCCTATTTGTATGTAAATATTAGCTCAGAAAAAAAGTTGTATAAATGATAGTACAGAATTAAAACTGATTTTAAATAAATGATACCAAAAAGAAAATTAAACTATTCTGAATTAATGACTTAAAATATGTATAGAAATCTATTTTTACACTTACACTTTTTTTAGTAGAATGAAGCTATCATGGAGGCATTAAAATACTGTTTTCAGTTCCACTCCCTAAGTTGACCCTTGAACAACCCAGGTTTGAACTGCATTGGTTCATTTACAAGTGGATTTTCTCAGTTGACTTGCAGTGCAGTTGACCTGCATGGTCCAAACCTGCACTCAAGGGTCAAGTGGAGGTTAGGAATCCGAGTGTTCAAAAGGTCAATTTAAGTTATGCAGGGATTCTTGACTGGAAGGGCAGTTGGCTCCCCTAAACCCCACGCTGTTCAAGGGTCAACTGTATTTCTGATGATGCTTAGAGTCTCTATAAACTGAACATTGTAAGAATCCTCACATCAGCCCTGGCTGGTGTGGCTCAGTGGATTCAGTGAGGGCCTGTGAACCAAAAAATTGCTGGTTCGATTTTCAGTCAGGGCACATGCCTGGGTTTTGGGCTGGGTCTCCAGTTGGGAGCGTGCAAGAGACAACCACACATCAATGTTTCTCTGACTCTCTGTCTCTCTCAATTCCTCTCTAAAAATAAATAAATAAAATCTTTTTTAAAAAAGGAATCCTCATTATCAATAAGCAAACTTACTTCCCAGTATAACCATTACTGAATAATAAGATTTGGAGAAGAGTGTGAAAACAGAAGGAAAGTAATCAATACCTTTAATTTCATCTTCATAGATATTGATGACCCAACTGTATCATCTCCAAAATGAGAGAGCTAGAAAAAGAAAAATGGAATCTCAGAAGTAGGCAATTCATATTTTCTTGAATAGCAATATGTCCAAAACAGCTGTGTAGCTAGGCATGCATCCTCTAAAAAATAGCAGTGGTAGAATAGCAGTGGTTTAGATCACATGCTAGATGTTAGGAAAGGTGGTGATTATTCACACCTCTGCCATTAACCCCTCATGGAAGAAACCAGTGGGTTCCACAGGATGTGTCTCACAGAATAGCACTTACTTTAGAGAGCAGCAATTTCAGGGTCTACCTCTAGTTCTCAGCATTGTGGGTCCAGGAACTTGATTTTGTTCGTGCTACCAGATATGATCAGGCTAAAGTAACCAGCCAGAAACAAGAATGCCAATTATACTGACATACATAAATGCCAAAAAGATCCATGTTTTCTGGTTGGCACATTCCCACAGCTTACAGTGTACAAAGGAAGGCAAATTATGTTAAGATTGAAAAGTGCCTGTGAAATCAGGACAGGGAGAGTTGGCTCCTCTATGTGTAGTGTCCACAAGTGACCGCTGTCTGATAGAGCTATCCTTGTAGAAGAATGTCTCCAGCCAAGAAGCCCCAAAGGCTGTGTCAGCTGGGCATGATATGATACTCTTTACTAAGGTCCTGT